GTCTGTTCTCATGGAGGGGGGCACAGCAATCATCCGTCTCTTCTGCCTCACTGGATCCACATGCAGACGAGCAAACCATCTCTGGAGGCGTCACATGTGGAGTAAGCCCAGCGGAACCACCGTGTGAGCTGACGACATCATTCCTAACAGCTTCATGACAGAAATGGCTGTTACCACTCTGCCATGCCTTATGTGGTGGAGCTGGTCTTTTAGAGTTTCAGATTTTGGGATGCTTTGGAAACACTGCTACTTCCTTAGGTCCGATGGCACCACCATCCAACATCACAAACTAATTTCTGACCTTCTGGAGGCCATTTTGCTTCCATCTTGAATTGCTGTGTACAAATGCTCTGCTTACACCTGCGCTTCAGACCCTGACTCCCGTGGCAATGCAGCAGCAGACACAGCTGCTAATGCAGTGGCTTCCTCTCCTGTTTCTGTGCTGACTGTGACACAGGACGTTACAGACATTTTTTCCTCTCTCACAGACATACAGACTTTTGCTACTGCTGAAGAGAAACGATCCTGGCGAACAGCAGGCTGCCATTTACAACAGGACATCTGGATAGGTCCAAATTCTAATCCATGCCTGCCAAAACATTTTCCTCTCACTTTGCGAAATTGACACATTCCTTTGATCATGTGTCAAAGGGAGGAATGTTATCACTAATAGACAGCCACTGGTTCACGATTGGTTTTCCCACGGTGGCCCAAAAATTTTGTGAAGCCTGTCTTATCTGTGTTACAGAAAATGCTGGCCGAGTAATACAACCAAAACAACAGGCTACTCACCCACCACCAGACGGTCCTTTTTAACATTTAATGATGGATTTCATTGAACTAACACCAGCACAGGGAAAGAAGTACTGCTTAGTCATTGTAGACATGTGGTCTAAATGGATTGAAACCTTTCCGACACCCACACAAACAGTAGCAGAGGTCACAAAAGTAGTCCTGAAAGAAATAATTCCTAGGTGGGGCCTGCCACAAAGGTTGTCCAGTGACAATGGCCCACATTTTGCTAATGAGGCCATTTCAAAGGTCAGTAAATACCTGGGAATTGACTACAATGGCACACTAAAAAACAAACTAGCCAAATGTTGCTCTGACACAGGACTGTCATGGCCAAAAGCATTGCCCTTGGTATTAACTGCCATGAGAATGAGGAAACGAAGCAGATGTAACCTACGAGTCCATTCAAAATCCTTTTTGCAGCACCCCCGAGAGTTGGACTGTAAGACTGTTGTTTTGTGTGATTAAAAATATACCACACACTCTGGAACCTTCTGTGGAAAATTACAGAACATGTTTGTGTAATTCGAGGTCAAAGGTGTTGTCACAAACCAGGGTTTAGGATTCAGAATAAGCCAGACACAGGAGTGCAAAAACAAGAACAGTTTTTATTAATTAGTCTGCTGGTTTCTGGGGTCAGGGTCCAAGGCAGGAGTCCAAACTTAAAAGACAGAGAGGTTAGTGACTTTGGCGAGGACGAGGGGATACTGTGATAATAGTTAACGTCACTAACCTTCTCAGTCTGTATGTGGCAGGTGAAATCCAGAGGCGTGGTCCAATGGTCGTAGCGGGGGTCAAGCATGTAGAAGCAGAGAATCAAGAACAGGGCCGAGTCGTGATCCAAAAGAGTAGTCAAAGGGAGAGCAAGAGTCGTTCCCATGGTCAGATATGCAGGCAAATCCAAGAGGGGTAGGCAAGGCGAGGAGTCCAAAAACAGGCGAGGATACAAGACAAGGCAAGGCAAGGATACAAGATACTATAAAGGCTTCACTATCAGGGACCATGAGAGGTTTATTGCAGTGACTCAGCAGAGTGGGTGTGGATAAGTGAGCAGGCAGAGGTGCAAGTTGACAGGAGATGAGGATAGTAAACTTGAACAGAAACTATGACCAGAAGGGCAGAAAACATGCCATGTCATGAAGTGGCAGGGGAGTGAGCAGATCGGGGGCCAGCGGGGGCCGCTGATCATGACAGGTGTACCTTTCAAAAGTGCATAAGTATGGAGTTGACTTTTTTTTTTATCTGTGCACTCTTATACAGACTGTTCAATCACTCTATTATGTTTGTGCCTTTATTGCAATAAATAACTTAAAGATCATTTTGTGAAGACAAGTTTTTAATCACATATTTCTGCTGCATTTCCATGACAATACCAACTAAACCAGGTTTATACATTTCAGCAGTCTTTTTATTTGAACACCAGTTTTTCCCCACAGTCTGAACTTGTATGTTGGGTGCCCAAATGTTTCATGCTGTGCTCTATTGTCTAGGGAGAACATTTTACAGGCCAAATGAGTCAAATTTAACTTCAGTTGATTTCATACCCATTCATCCAATTTTCTTTGCACACTTTCCGTGCAGGGTTGCAGTGAACTTGTGTCTATCTCCAGCTGTTGTTAGGTGAAAGTTGGGGTACACATGGGACAGGCTTTACCTATGTGAGAATAAATATTCTGTATTTGTGTATTAAGTACATCAACAAACAAAATACTTCTTCATCTCAGCAAGGCAGAGGGAGCTCTTTAACCTTGGATGGCCATCCATCCAGTAGTTGGAGCCCCTCAGGCAGTGTGAACTCATTCCTGCCGCTTCTGTGTCCTCCTCAGCACTGAGGATATTTACTTTGCCTTTTCCTTAGATATTGCTTTAGATGAGGAGACAGGGAACCTATAGATTGGGCAATAACTTGTTTTTCTTAAACATTGTTCAGGCCACTGATCTGGAGAGACCACTCCACCATTGCTTCAAGTGAGGACATCAATACGGGGAGCATACAGATGATAAGCCACAGCCTGGTGTAGAGCACCAAGTGTTGATCCCAGTGGTGGGAGAAATAACTTAATCTTATTGGATATCTCCACCTGTCTTAAACTGGGGAAGTTTTAGCCAGTAAGGTACTGTCCCATCAGTGACACTGAGTGAGTGGGGCTAGATAAGTGTGCCGAAACCACTGCACCTGACCAAAACAAAAGATCTCACAGGTCACCCACACACAAGCTAGGCACATGAAATGGCAGGACCAAGACATGGTCTTGGTGGCCTACCGTGCATCAGTAGACAAGGCTCTCCATTTCTGGCAGCATCAGGAAAAAGGCATGTGTTTTTCTGCTCCTCTAAAATCAGTCACTCAGGAGGTGATATGGGAGAAACCCAGTCAAATGAAGCTATGGATTAAGTCACAAGTAAGGCTCTAAAAGCAGTAGAGTATATCTGCCCACCAACCAAACCAAGTTTAAAAGAGCTCAACACAACAATGAAAACACTTGCTATCATGAAAAGTGTTTTTTGTTGTTTATTAGTAGTCTTTTGTGTTTAATGGAAGGTTTTTGTGATTACTGTCTTTATGTTTTCTTACCTGTGCTCTCTGTGTGACGGTAGCCCAGACATCCCTCTCCCAAGCGACACTCCCCTGCTTTTTCTGGTGAATCCCAATGGCTTTCCAGGCCAGAGAAGATATAATCTCTCCAGCTGGTTCTGGATTTACCCTGGGATCTCTCCCCCCACCCCACAAAACATCCCAATGAACATGAAACTGAACGCATGTGAGACATCTCCCCTGACATGTCTCCATATATACAATATATGCAAACAGATGCAGGTATGTCCTGCATGTGGGACTCTCCTCTCTGCACGATCAAAAATGATGTCTAGGTACAGGGAAATTGGGATTGTAATGGAATTTGAGTTAGAAACACTTCTAAAGTTGTGGGGTGTAAAAATGCATTTGCACAAAATCAATTGATTGTGCAACACACACCCACAGAAGTATCATCAGTTTGATCAGACAGATGTGTTTAATGGCATGAAACTTTAAACACTTGGAAAAACAGAGGCTTGTTCATTGAATAGTTGCTATGAAGAAATGAGTTGCTGCACATCTAGGGGGCGAAATGTATGGAAGTTTGATATACATGGGCATCAAACAGATGAGGCCAAGACATACAGCTAGTATGACATGACTCAAGAACAACTATGAATCACACGATCTGTCAGCCAGCTCCTTCAGAAAGTATCTGGTTGCAAGGAACGCCACTGTAGTGAGCACTTGAACTGACACACGGCTCCTCCTAGTTTCCTTCTGTAACGCTGGGGCTAGTTCAGCGCAGAGTTCCTAAAGAACGGCCTGGGGTTCTAAATCAGATAAAAAGCCAGGCATCATCATGTGATCCCTGAAAACATGCTTCCTCCCGCTTCTTCTGTTGGTGACATCACCCAGCAGTGCCAAAGCTGCCATTTGCTCCACAGTTACACAAACCCTTAAGCATTGAAGCTATTTAAGGGTGACTTTTTCAGACTGAACATGCTGACTGGACACTGTGTTCTTCTCATTGAGGCTAGAAATGCTTCTTTTACATTTCACCTGCATCAGCTGTCTCTGATTCACTGTTCCAGGACCAGTATAAAATCCACACTAATTCTCCTATGTCCAAGGGTCAACGATCGGTTGGAGCTTTCCTTTCTGAAGTAAACAACGTCAGGAAGGCTGAGAAATGTGATCCCTCGATACAGTAGTTGGAACAGACATTTCAATCCCCCTTTTATAAAAACCAGGACCATCATCTGCTATGCTACAGATGCTGTCCTGGTTTTTGTTGTGCTCATCAGTTCAGTGCCTACAGTTTTATGTTCTTCTTAATAAAAACTTTATTTGGATAACAGCCATACATTACGTGTTTGTGCTCCAGTTACACGAAAGGTATGAGGAAGATTTTCATTTAAAAAACACAAGAAAAAAAAAGACGACTTTCAAATCAACTTCTGGGCATTTAAACAAAAGAAAACAATATGCTGATGAGATCTGTTAAAGCACGCACACAAACACACACCCACACACACACACAAGAAAAAAAGTTCCACATCCAGACTCCCATTAGTCTGTGAAGCACAGATTGAGACTCTTAGGAGTTTTAATTAGTCTCTCCTGAAAGTCTGAACCTTGGCATCGTCCAGCCTCGGCTCTCGGTCCTGTGGCCCCTGGACGAGTCTGATCAGGAGTACAGGCTCCAGTAGATGGTGTTGAAGAGTAGGTAGGACAGAGGGAAGGCCAGGCGTGAGTACGAGTCGATCATGTAGCTGTTGCTGACCAGCCGATCCACGTTTTCACGCACCGACCGCTGCCGCCGCAGCCGAGTGCCCTCTGAGGGACGGATGTCTGAGTTCTGGCTCGGCGTGGTCAGAGGCTCAGAGGTCAGCGTGGCAGCCATCCGAGGGAACGTGGTCAGCTCAATGTCATCGTCATGGAAACAGCCGTCAAAGGCCATAGCCTGGCTGGCATTAAAAGTGGAGGGGATCTGAAATTTAAACATAGAAAAGAAAACATGCATCAAATAATATTTAATTAGCTCAAAATTTTGAAATGGATTTAAAATTAAAGTGTTAGATTTCTGCAGGTTATAGAAGAATAAAAGAAAAGTGGCACAGAAAACTAGGCAGTTTGCAATTAAGGTAAAAATTGTTTCCAGTTTCCTTCTTTTTCACTAGAAGAATTTGAGTTTACAAGCTACTTTAGTACACTGATTTTACTTTGTATTAAAAGAACAAAGTCTGGACAGAAAGAGAATTACAATAAAATAAAGTTAAATATTTTATTGTTTAAATTATCTTTATATTTCAAGAAAACGAATTGAGGAATTATTTTAGTGAATCGTTAATTCACTAAGTGAATGTTTGAGCATATAAAATAATATTGTTTTGGGATGAGTTTGTGGCTTGGAGGCTGCAGGTTTCTAATGAATAATGAATGTAATGAGACTATGAAGCCACAAGAGGGAGACAAAGTTGAATGATTTTTGTTATTTTAACTTCATTTTGTACAAGTTATTGTGTGAATGCTGATAAGTTTTCATGTTTTTTATTTTATTGTCAGCTATAATACCCACTGAGGATTAAAACATTCAACTCGTTCAGGAGATGGATGATTTGAACGGCATAATTTTTATATTTTTTTAGATATTTAACATATTTTTGTTTCATTGAAATGTATTGGGATTTTTTTAATTTTAGATTCTGTATAACTGTTTTTGCTAAATATAGCTTTAGCTAAATCTTTGTTGGTATTAAAGTTTAGCTATGCTTTGTCAAACTTCAGCTTTTAGCTACATTTATGCTCATTTTAGCAATTAGTTATCACATTTCAGTTTACTTAAAAATACTCGGAAGACATCCACTCAACGATTTCTACTGAAAATGCTAAAGTTTCTGTTTTTTCTTTCTTTCTGTGCAGTCATGAGCTGTTTGTTCAGTGTTCTGACCTTCCCCCTCCTCATCTTCCTCATCTCCTCCAGAGTGGTGCAGTAGTTCACAGCTGCGTACTCGATCACAGACAGGAAGACAAACAGGAAGCTGGTCCACAGGTAGATGTCCACCGCTTTCACATATGACACCTGAAAATAGGTAGATAGATGGAAGGATGAGTGGATGTGTGGTTGGATGTGTGGATGGATGAAGGATGGATGGAGTTCCACATTTTTCAACTTTAACAAAATGTTTTTCCAAGTCTTTTATATTTTCTTTACTTACTTTTAGTTTTGAAACAAAATCGGATGATAAACTTTCACGTTAAACTTAATCAAAATGCATTTAAACCTAAATATAAATATGGATTTGTGAAGTCAAATACAAAATGGTGGAAAAGGTTTGTGACAAATGAAACATTTTTACACCTTCATCCAGTCAGATACGATTTTGTTTACTCTGCCTTTCCTTGTGTTCACCTTCAAGTGCTGAAATATTCTGCTCTAAAAACTAATCAGTTATTTGTGTTAACATGTGTTTGGATTAACTACTAACTCCTGCCTGTGACTACACACTCCTGCATGTTACTACAAAGTACACACTCCTGCCTGTGAA